AGTTGGGGGTTACAGTTATCATTTTTGGGCAGGCCTGGACAATCCCAGGCTTTGTCCTTGAGCTACCATGGGGGATGGCTGACCTCACACATTCACATTGACCCATGCATGTAGCTCTAAGTTGGTGAGGGGTCCCAGACAGTAAACAACTGGCTGAACCTTGAGCAGTCAGAGTACGTGCAGAAAGGGAGCTACTGCAAGGACTATGTCTTTTGTTCGTGGCCCTTCCAGAAACTGCTTGCTCAAGTCTCAGGAAACTGAAACTGAGGCCTGATCTCTGAGAGAAGACTGAGCAGCTTCTTATGGCATCCGCTTGGTCCTTTCACTAAGCAGTTGCAGAGGCAATCTGATGCCTCTCTTAGCTTTTGGATTGGTGGAGCCAGTGGTCTGCTAAAAATATACCTAAGAGGTATGGATAGTCACAAGGATGTTAGGTCAGACCTAGAGGTGGTAATAGGTGGCTTGCAAAGGGACTAAAATAGCTCCAGACAATTTGGCTCTCGTCTACAACATTTTAACTCTTGCAGAGTCTTTGACACAAGTGAGGCTTTTTTTCTTGGAACTTCAGTGCACACCAGTTGGGGAGTTTGAGGCTAGCCTGGGTTACATGATGAGTCTCTGTCTAATAAAATAAATAGATTGACAATAGATAGATAGATAGATAGATAGATAGATAGATAGATAGATAGATAGATAGATAAAAAATAAATAAATAAATGGCAGGACAGAAGAGTATGAAGGTAATCAATGCCATGGAACTATACACTTTATATCGTTAAAATGGTAAATTTCATACTATGTCTATTTGACCACAGCTTTTAAAAAGAATGTCAAATTGTTTCCCAGGGATCATATGTCAGATGAAGCAATGATAATAATATGGAGCACAATGAATGCTTTCAAGTAACAAGGGGATCCATTTGGAGTTTTCATTAGTCAAGGTAAGGGCAAGCTTCATCCCAGCTCAGTAAAAAGATGTCGTACATTTTGCAAAGCCCGGGAAGGCATGGGAAATGACTACATCGTACAGATCACAAGCCTCTTTCCCAGTCCCCTGGAGCTAGTGGTCTTACACGCACACAACAGCCAGGTTTTGGGCCACCTGTACAACGCAGGGGTTTGATTTTCTCATTAGCATTCCTAGGTCCTGCCCAGAAGGTGTGTTATCTCCATGGAATCACAGTCATGAGACAGCCATGGCTCTGGCATTGGTTTTTGTCTGGGCTGCCACATCTTTGAAGGCCTTCTGACTTCTTGTGCCACCCCGACACTAATTCTGGGGACACGTTTTTCTGCTGGAAGGTGTCTGTCATACGTAGCATGGGTTCTAGAGACATCAGGAAAATCGTTGTTGTTGGGGGGGCTTGCAGGATGGTTGTGTCACACTCATACTTAAAATGGAAATGCTTTATTCTTTAGTAAGTCTTCCACTCCAGGGGTTGGGTATTTGTTTTCCATGGATCAAAATTGCTAAGAGTAGCTGGGATGTAACTCAGGCAAGAGTGCTTGCCTAGCACACACACAGTTCTGGGTTTGATCCCCAGCATGGCACAAACACTTGGGGAGCTGGCACACAACTATGATTCCAGCACTTGGGAGGTAGGCGCAGGAGGATCAGAGGGTGGTCATCCTTCACTACATAGTGAGTTCAAGGCCAGCCTGGGATACATGAGATCATATCTCAAAAATATTTAAAATAAATAAATAAAACATAAATTGTAAGTGTATGTGAGGTGTGTGTGTGTGTGTGTGAGAGAGAGAGAGAGAGAGAGAGAGAGAGAGAGAGAGAGAGAGAGAGAGAGAGAGGCTTCAGTGATGCACCCTTGATATTTTCCAGGTGGATATTCAGTCCAGCTGTAAAAAAAAAAAATGATGTTTATCCTAAAACTGGATGGAGCATAAAAGGAGAGACTTCCAGGGAATTCTCCTCAGGAGGCTGAGCCAGCCATCACCAAGTGGCTTCTAGAGTCCCAGGAGGGAGTGAGGCCAGAACACTATGTGCCTGGGCTGAGGAACGAGGCTCCAGACACCACTCTGGCACGGCACCCAAGAGCCTGTCCCGGCTCCCTGGCTCCAGCACCCCCTGGTGGAGGGGTGGGCAATATTTCTGGACCTCCCTGAGAATGACATTTACTTATGTGTCTTATCTCTCTACTTTTGCATCACGTTGGTGGCATGGGTACAATTATGTCCATCTCCTACAGTGGGGATGGCCCAGAGCAACTTCCGGCTCACACATTGCCAGTGGGTGCTAGCATGCTCTGTTTCCATGCGGTCAGGGCTTCCTTTGGCCACCTCAGAGGAGGGAGGGGAGGAGAACCCATGAGGGGGTTTATAGTTTGGATGGCACTGGGAAGCAGCTATGGAGCCTAGTGCCTCTAAAGCAACCAAGCAACCAACCAGCGAGACCAAGTCCCTGGGAGCAGGGGCGGGGCAAGGGGAGGGGATTTCCCTTCCAGGATGTGCCCCCTCACTAGCACTGAGGGATCAAGGACAGTCACTGACAGCCTAACAACACCACACTGGTATCTTTAGGAGCATCCCTCCCGCAGGGACCAGGGACAAGCTCAAAGGGAACACCAGTGGTCTGGTGAGGCTGCAGGATCTGGACTTTTCCTGTTTTCTGAAAAGTAAGGCTTTCTCCTGTTCTGCACACATCCCCTCCTGGGAGCAGGCAGCACAGTGAGCTGCTTAGGAGTTCTGCCAACTCCTACCTCTATATAGCTGTGTGACTCGGGGGAAATCAATTTCCCTCTCTGTGTGTAGTTACTTCTTCTGAAAAAATGGGCAGGATAATATCTACCTCATCGGGCTGTTACAGAAAGGAAAAGGAGCCACTTAACACATGGAAGAATATTACACATCTGTAATCGACAGCCCTTGTTATCACAATTAAGACTGGGTAAAAAGCACGTTGATTCCACTATGCCTTGGCAAGCAAGTCCACCCTCTAAAGCAAAAGGAGGGGAAGATTAATTGCTTTGTTTTCTTCCATTTCCAATCCCTCTCTCCAAGCTCCAAAACCCAGGAACTGTTGGACCGCTCATTCATTGGCAAAAATCTGACCTGAAATCAAGGAGTATGGACTGACTCTCACCAAGTGTGAGACCCGTATCTTGCTGCTGAAATGGCCACAGGTTTGTGGAGGCGTGGGCACAGTGCCAAGCTCTTTGCTCAGACACCCCTTGGAAGATGTTGTGAACGTATTTCTAAGACAGTCACTGGCCTCTGCAGTCAACAGACTCTGAAGAGACTAGCTAGCCTCTGAGGTGAGCAGGCCACATGCTAGGTTCAGGAAGCTAGAAATCAGAGATCAAGGTGTCTCTGTATATTCAGGTTCAACTGAGTCCTCAACCAACCTATTCTTTGATGTCTCCTCTTTTAAAAATGTATTTTTATTATTACTAGTCTTATAATAGGTATTACATCTATGGTTGTGTGTGTGCATGTACATGTGCATGTGCGTGTGTGTGTGTGCGTGCGTGCGTGCATGCGTGCATGCGTGCGTGCGTGTGTGTGTGTGTGTGTGTGTGTGTGTGTGTGTGTGTGTGTTCTGTAGCAGGAATATAGAAGACAGAGGACAATTTTGTGGAGTCAGTTCTCCCCTGACATCTTGTGGTTTCCAGGAATTGAACTTAGGTCATCTGGCCTGTGAAGCAAGCACCTTTACCCACTGAACCATTTCTCGGGCCTAAATAATTGCTTTGGGTTTGGCGGGTTTGTGGTCGTGGTAGTGGTGGTGCAGGAATTGAACCCAAGGCTTCTTAAATGCTAGGCAAATACTCTGCCATTGTGTTCGTTCCTAGTCCCTGTTGGGTTTTTGTTTGTTTGGTTGATTGGTTTAGCTTGGTACTGGGGATTGATCCAAGAGCCCAGTGCATGCCACACAATTGTTTAGCAAAGTTCTGGGATCAATCTTCAGTACCACAACAAACAAACAAACGTGTGGTGGCACACACATGTCATCCCAGCACTTTGGAAGTGGAGACAGGAGGATCAGAAGAAGTTCAAGGTCATCCTAAACTCCATAATGAGTTCAAGGCCAGCTCAGAAACCAAAAACTAAACACAAAACAAAACAAATACATCTGTGTATTATATTAATGTAACTTGAATCTTAGAAGGTCTTATAATAAAAATCAGAGCCAGATATTGGGGTGAAAGCTGAAAGATCAGAGAAGCAGAACAGTAGCCAGCCACTAGCTTACCTCTACAAAATCCTCAGCCTCAAGGGAGTGAGTTCCTGTTTCCTCACGCCTTATATACCTTTCTGTGTCCTGCCATATTACTTCCTGGTATTAAAGGCATGTGCCACCACTGTCTGGCTCTGTTTCTCTCATGTAGACCAGTGTGGCCTTGAACTCACAGAGATCCAGACGGATCTCTGCCTCCTGAGCGATGGGATTAAGGGTGTATGCCACCACTGACTGACCTCTGTCTAATCTGGCTGGCTTTATTCTCAGATCCTCAGGCAAGCTTTATTGGGGTACACAATATATCACCACATATTAGTACACAGCCGGAACTTCGGCTGATGTATACTAAGCAATTGTCTCACTGCTCTATGATGGAAAAAAGGGAAACTTGTCGCCCTTATTTTCAGTTGAGGTAAGAGATTCAGCGTATCAAAGTGACCGTGATCCTCAAAGACTGCAGTGCCAGAGGGGAGGGTGCCTGTGAGCCCCTTAGGGATGAGCGCCATCTGATAAGTGGAGGCTTACCTTCTTTCCCCAGATTGAGCATTTTGTCTGTCTTTGGTGGTCAGTGCTTCCTGGGACTGTATTTGGTCCACTGGCCTTATAAATGACCTTGTAACTAATTAACTCTGCTAACCACCAAAAGTCTTCGCCTCCAGCAGTGCCACAGACGTCAAGGTTCTTGCTGGTAAACGACTAATCCAAGTCTATTGGTTAGTTCAAGGGCTTTTAAGCATTCTAAGAATGTAAAGTTCTGAGCTTGGTGCATGATGGGTAACAACTATTCTCCAAATGAGAATGGCTAGGGTTCTTCCTTCAGCTCCAACTCTCTTCACACATATGGCCAATGTAAAGAGCAGACGTGGTCTCTTTTCCTTCACTTTTTATTTTTGACACCACAAGTCTTTGTAAGAAATGCATTGCATTAGGTAGGTGCTCTAGCGGACTAGTACCGATAGACTGAATGTGTTCAGAGGGGAATCTTTTAGATTGGGCCACACAGCAGGGCTGGAACATGCAACAGGGGCCATCTGCACACTGAAAGGCTGAGACCCCAGGATCTGCTCAGTCCTCAAGGCTGGGTGTCTTTCGTTCCACTGCTGGTGCTCCGGAGCCTTCCTGAGAGCTGTGGACATTCAGCACACATGGAAGGCTGAAGACGCTGGAGTGTGATGTTGGGGATGTTGACAGAAGCAGTGACTTGGGAGGAAGCAGGAGAAGCAGCACACACAGTTTTCCTCAGGCTCCCTTCTTCCTGTCTGACACCTGGGAGCTGTGACTCGATCCGAGGGTGAATCTTTCCCCTTCTGGCCATCCTCTCTGGAAATGTCCTCACAAACACAAACAGAGGTGTGTCTTCAGGTCGATTTAAATTCCAGTGAAGACCAACCATTGCATATATTTTTACTAAATTGTATGTAAGCTGGTGGAGGGGAGATTGATCAAAACGTTAGACTCTTCACATCCACGCTGGTCGGTTGCATGTAAGAGTCAAACCCACAGAAGCTCTGTCCTGTGTATACAGAGGAACACCAGCCAGGCAGGGAAACAGGGCAGCATGGTCGTCAAGCCCAGCCTAGAACAAAGCTCTTGCCTGTCATTAATGGAGCGGTCCACAGACCACGTAGTCGTTACAGAGAGGGGACAAGCCTCACACACACAGTGCTGAGTATAAGTGATCTCTTTGTGAGCATCTCGGACTAAGCTACACAGAACTCAAATTCAGAATGCCCGCCTCTCCGCCTGCCCTGCTGTGTAAACATGGGTGGTAGGATCAGAGAGGGAATGGGTTATAATCGTATCAATCAGAGTGGCAGATGTGGTAGTTTGAATGCAATTGGCCCCCATAAGCTCATAGGGAGTGGCACTATTAGGAGGTGTGGATTTGTTGGAGTAGGTATGGCCTTGCTGGAGGAAGTGTGTCACTGTGGGGTGAGCTTTGAGCTCTTCTTTGCTCAAGCTTCACGCAGTGTGACACTCAGACCACTTCCTGTTGCCTGTGGATCAAGATGTCTTAACACTCAGCTCCTTCTCCAGCTCCATGTCTGCCTGCATGCCGGCATGTCCCACCATGACAATAATGGACTAAACCTCTGAAACTGTAAGCCACTCGCTTAAATGTTTTTCCTTTACAAAAGCTGCTGTAGTCATGGTGTCTCTTCACAGACAGTGGGGTAGGAGAGAAGGCTCAGTGGTGAAGAGCTTTGTTGCTCTTGCAGAGGACCTGGGTTCGGTTCCCAGCACCTGCATGACCACTTACAACTGTCCTCCACTCCAGTTCCGGGGAACCTAGCACCCTCTTCTGGGTATCGTGGGCACCGGGCACACACGTCAAGCTTGCATACGTGCAGGCAAAGCACTCAAGCTCACAAAATAAAAATAAATAAATCTTCTTTTAAACATCAGGATGGTCTTGTCTTTTCAGGGAGGGAAGAGAAAAGGGAAGAGTCCAGAGCTGGAGTCCAGGGTACTGACTGTGTTCTGATTCTGAACTGAAATGATGGGGACCCAAGTTGCTGCTTTCTTAGTTTCCAAAATACATCAATCATACACATACTGCTGGGAATTTAATATATTTCACAATAAAAGCAAAGGCTGAAAAATAAACAGAAATGTGTTTTATGTCTCACCTCAATAGCCAAACTCATATATCTGTGTGTGAACATGCTAGAACAAAAATGCCACCAAGAAGCTGACCTTTACCACATAAAGCACATTCTGATATGTTATTCTAGTCTATTTGGTTCTATTCCCCCTTCCTGTGTGTGTGTGTGTGTGTGTGTGTGTGTGTGTGTGTGTGTGTGCTCACTCACACACCAGCTGTAAAGCACTAAACTAATTTCAGAGCCCACTAACAGATTACACAACCCACTGAGAACATTGTCTTAGCCAGAAAAGCATTGTTATGAGCGTCCCCCTTCAGCGGCCCCAGGAAGGCTGTCCAGTGTGGCAGGTAGCCCTTGTTCTCTGAAGAGGTTTTGGCCCCTTATCTGTCCTTTGTGGTCCAAGAACTTAAGCTTTTCCTCTGTGGCATCTACCCAATAAGGGACTGCAGATTCAAATAGCCAGGAGGAGTGGTAGGAGTGGGAAGGAGAGAGGTCGTGGTGGAGAAAAGAGACAGCTGGGGAGATGGCACCACTGGTGAAGGGCTTTGCCACGCAAGCTTGAGGACCAGCACTCATGTGAGAAGCCAAGCACAGTGGTGTGCATCTGTGATCCCAGCTCTAGGAGGCAGAGAAAAGTGGATTCCTCCAGGCCATTGGCCAGCTAGCCTAGGTGATTCAGTGAGCTCTGTTTAAGTGTCTCAAAAAAAAAAAAATTAGATGGAGATGGAGGTTGCAACTATAAAGACACTCAATATCCACCTTTACCCTCCACAGGCACCTCCACACATGGGTACTACTTGTATGCAGACACACACACACAGACACACACACAAGTTTGGGCTCTGTGTCTGGGGTAGAACAGGCATCTATAGGAGAGATCAGTGAAAGTGTATCCTCAGGAAATAAATGAGAGGCAATGGGCACAGTTGACATGCAGGAGGAAGGGATACTTCCGGCAGACACTTCAAAGGCTGGGGGCTGCTGAGATGGCAATGAAGCTGTAATTAAGCATTCTGTGAAGATCACCGTGTGCCGGGGCCGTCCCGGTGCGGTGGTGAATTACATGGAGAGGGTGCCTAGTGGATGAAAGAACCTCCTGCTGACCAGACAACAGAAAGAATCAACAGGCGATTTGGGAACACATCCTCAGAGCTAAATTAATTACTCGAGTGCTTCTATAGGAACACATCTTTTGAGTGTAACTCAGGACAGAACAAGCCAGTTCCTTTGACCCAATACACAGGAGTCACACTTTTTCTGGGAGATGAGCAGGCACCTGCTTAGATAAGCCCTCATGCCTTTCAGAATCCACAGAGTGAAGGCAGGTTGACCTCTGACCATCATGGACTCTCTCGATTCCAGCAAGCACGGAATCTCACCAGAAGGCAGACAAAGGTCAGTGGAGTTCTGGAGTCCTCTTTCCAGGCCCCCAGCCCTCCAGCAAAGCCCCTTGTGGGCTGCTATAGGGAACTCTGCTCTAGGCTGCTCTCAGATCAGAGAGATCGGAAGAAAATGATGGGAAGATGGAGACTGTGATTGTTTCTAACTAGCGTGGGTCATATTCCACTGAAGCTTCGAGAATGTGCCTGGAGGCAGCACCCAGGTGTTACCTCTGGAGAGGTCAGTTAGCTGCTGCCCAGTGCCAGCCTTGAGCCCTAAGGAAGGAGGTGGGGCAAAAAGCAGTGACTGGTCAGTCGGGCTAGAGCCCTAAAAAGCATGAGCCCTCCTTGGTACAGAGTGGGTTTGAAGCAGGCGTGACTGAACAGGAATCAGGGATAACAGTCAAAAGCCCCAGTGGCAGAGAGCTAAACACCCTTCCAGAAAAGGTGGTCTGCTTCCTGACTATGCCAGCATGTGTTGAGCAGCATCCTTTCATCCCTGGATTTTCTGATGCCCTTGTCTGTCCACAACTGAGGAATAAATGTAGGGAGAGAACACACATGCAGGTGCCCCCCACCACACATGGATACACACACACACACACACACACACACACACACACACACACACACGCACACATACATAGACACAGACACACACACACACACACACACACACACACACACACCACACACACACACACACCACACACACAAACACACACACACACCACACACACAAACACCCATACGTAGACACAGATACACACACACACACACACACACACACACACACACACACACACAGCTGCGGTGTTGCATCCTCTTTCCCCACGAAAGAAGCATTAAGTTTTTGGAAGGGGCCATATGCCATGTCATCTCAGTGGATGCTCCACCAGGGACCCTTTAAGATGACAGACAGCCCAGTTCTCTGCCTTCCTTATGCAGCCCGATGCAGAATGAAGGCTGTGCGTCTACACTGGGTGACTATGGCGGGACGGTCTTCTTTCCACGAAAGTGGCAGAGAGCTCCCAATGTGGCGGGACAGCTCTCCTCTTAGCGAGAAAGAGGAATGGAGCAGAAACCAAAATTGCGTTATCCTGACTGCCAGCTCGTGTAGGTTGGGAAGGACGGGGGAGTAGAGAATTTCATTCTTTCCTCCTCTGTCTTGCTCTCCATTCTTGTCCCTGTCATCCCCACGCCACTCCTGGGTTAGACAAGACTCCTCCTGAGTTAGCCTGGACCCCTCCGGCCACCCCACCATCACAGCAGATGCCTGAACCTCAGTAACACCTGCTTTGAACCCACTCTATAGAGAGGGCCCACATGTGCTTTTTAGGGAGTCTCTAAAGGAAAAATTAACTTTTGAGAAGACAAGTGTGCCATAAAAGCTTTATTAAACAAGGACAGTGTATCGCAGTAGGTGCATACTCCTTAATTAAAAAAAATGAAAATTAAGCCATGGTGGTTTTTTTCTGTCCTGCTTATAAATTCACCCAGAGGGTAATAAGCCAGGAGCACATCCAATAACTTTAATAATTGAGTAATAAATAAGCATTGTGTTTGGGCAGTGTGTATGAGAGAGAAATGCCAACAAGCTGGGGCAGACTCTTCCCCAGGGCAGCACAAAGGCAGGTTGAGACATAGCTAACGGAAATATTAGGATGACCCTCCATGGATTTTCCTGACCTTGGCATGCGTCCAGGACAAGTGGCCACATGCAAAGAAACTCCTCCGTGCACAGCTAGCACATGCCACCAGACTCCTCAAAGCCCTGAGTGGGACCCCTGAAGAGGCGGGGGTTGTTTTAGTGTGGGTTCAGGACAGCCCCCGGCAGCTGCCAGCCAATTGCCTGGAGTGCTTAGACCGTCACAAAATTGGATGGATTCCGACTTCAGCATCAATCAGCTCCTTCACCAGGAGAAAGAAAAATATGTGTGATGGGGGCAGGGAATTGGGTTATTGAGTTAGAGGAATTAACATAATGGAAAGGGATGAGGAACCGCACAGAGTGCATGATTCCTTGGCATATATAACTCACTCCTTGAAGCTTTTTTTCCTCTTTGTGATGCCTGGCAGGTCTGGTCAGAGATTTGGACAGTGGGTGAGGCTCCATTTAATCAGAGAAACAAGGGCAAGTGGATTTCTCCAATGAAGGAGAAGCAATGGGCGACCGTGAGTAGCGAAAGCTGGCTGGAGCGTGGAATGGAGTGTGTAACTTCTTAGGGGAACTCAAGTAGGATGCTACCTAATTAGAAGTGACGTCCTTCCCCCCACCCCCAATTGCTGTAAGAGAACCAGAAGACAGAGCTGCCCTTGTGAACCCTGACAGCCACCCTTGATGTCATCAAGCCCTGTGGGTGTGTGGCCATGTGCTAGTCTTCCAGTCCCAGGCTCCTTCCCTCCATGTGGACCCTCTGTCTGCTGATGTTTAAGAAACACAGTGACTTTTGCCCTTATTTGTCCCTTTCTGGCCTTGTGTGTCAGGATCTAAAAGTCGGAGGGCATTTTGAGGACTCTTCACATTTGGGGGGTCAGAGGACTCGGTCTCTGATTGTCAGTCAGCAGTCCAAGAGAACGGGGTAATGCGATTATCCACTGACATTTCTGTAGCGTCCAACCTGTAACGTGTCGGCTGTTTTCTGCACTCTGAGCACTCAAGGTGAACTCGGGCAGCGTGGCCAAGGAATAGCATCATTGCAGTCCCCGCTGTTACACACGCTGGGAATCCCAGACTTCAGGGGCAGCAAAGAGGAAGAAAAGAAACAGGCCTTTCTCACCCAGCACACAGGCGCTCTCGAGGTGGCTCGATACAGTCTTTGTTTATGTTCCAGAGTTCTGGTTTTTGCTATTAGCCTTAGAGTTTTCTTGATGAAATTAAGTTAACAAACCATAAAGAAATACTGTCTTTATGATAATGAGGGTGCCCGGGCCTCTGATGGAATTAGCAGCTGCTTTATTTTTACTACCAAGACTGCTTGGGAAGAGTCATCCAGTGTGGGTGTCTGAGAGGTTACCATCAACATCAATGTTAAGAGGACAGTGGAGGGTGAAAACTAGCAGATGACACTGAGAACCGTTCCCTTTCTGGGCATACTCCAAACACACTGAGCAAAGCCCTTCTAACTGGAGGAAGGATGCTCAGAGGGCAGCCAACGCCAGGATCTAAGAAAAGCACTTTTTCCTTTGGTTTTAATTATGTGATAAATGTATCTCTCTCTCTCTCTCTCTCTCTCTCTCTCTCTCTCTCTCACACACACACACACACACACACACACACACACAATGCATGCCATCTTCTTGTTCGTTTGGTTAAGACAGGGTCTTGCTAGGAGGCCAGGCTTGCCTTGAAAACACACTCCTCCCTCAACTAGGGGCTGCAGGTGTTTGCCATTCTAACCCAGCTCACTTTGTTATCTGTGATGATTAAATGTTCTGTTCTTGAAATGACAGTGATCCATTTTGCACACTTGGGAAGAGTCATCCAGTGTGGCGGTGTGCTGGTCTTCCCGCCCCAGGCTGAGGGTGGAACTGGAAGCCTTACTAAGTGTTGCCAGCCTGTCCTTGGGAAACGTTC